TTATACCAATTTTCTTCTAAATCTAAAATAGTTGCCGCGTCAAATTTAAAGTTATGTCCTGTTATGAGATGATGTGCAGCTAACGCTGTGGTATTAGTTTTATTTACATTTGTAGATTTGCAGTTATTTTTATGTTGGTCTAATCTTTTTTTTATTATTATTATTTTTATTTATTAATCTTTGTCGTATGATATCGTGCTAAAAAAATATTCGGTTTATTCTCTTCTAATAAACCCGACAATATTTTTCTCCTGTAAAACGTAAAACACACACACACACACATTTGTTTAATTAATAATCGTGAGGATGATAATATTATTCGTATATAAATAATAATAATAATGAGATAAAAATCATACCTGGTGTAGATTTAATAATAAAATCCAAAAAACTAGTAACCCTCGAGGCAACACCGGGAAATTCATCGGCACAGGTTTTACCATAACTAATAACCCCAAGTAGAGTTAAACGATTGGTACTTGGATTATGCCATAATTCGGGACCACCGCTGTCAAACTATACGAAAAAAAAAGAAACAAAAAAAGGGGAATAAAAATGATTCATTTTTTTAATGAATTATTAATGAAAAATTAATTCGTAATTAAATAAATTTGTATTATTACCTGGCAGGAATCTTTACCCTTATCGTAGGTACAAATTTGTTTGGAGGATACTTTAGGTTGGTACCTGACACATTGGTGATTTGAAATAATGTGCAAATTAACTTTCATCAATACATCCGATTTAGGACCGGCAAAACTGGTTGTACCCCAGCCTAAGAAAAAATATTTTATTATTCAAATAAATAATAATAATATGATAAAAATACTTTTACAAATTAAGGGGTTACATGGGTTTGGGACTTTCAAACAAATTTTTTTTTTTTTATTTTTTTTGTTCAATTCTACAACTCATCTAGAATATTGTATTGAATTTTGAAGTCGATAGGAGTAGTAGTTTTAAAAATAGAGCCCTGGAAAGTTGCACTCTTTAATGGCTCTTATATCATCACTCAAATCTTTAAACGCGTTTTTCTCAAAACGCTTTTTCTAAAGTCGGTTGTCAAGATTTCTCGAAAACTATTTAACCGATTTTCATGAAATTTGCAACACGTCTTCGTGATACTATTGACAAGGACTTGGACGAAGGATTTTCGTTTTTTTTTCATAAAATCGAATTTTAAGAAACCAAAATGTGGT